GGATGCCCTAAATCGTAATTCCAGCCAGAAAATGTCGGTGTCAAGCTATTACGGTAAATCCTAGGGACTATGGTATATAAAGGTCATCAAACCTCACAGCAGAAGGCATGTCTGTGACTGCATCCTTGTGTGATGATAGGGCAAGTTTCGGTGATTATCTAGTTTCACAGCCATCCAATTGGTAGAGGTTAAGTTTCATACAGCTGCCTTTTAGATGAAAAGTGATGGTAAAAATGATATATGCAAACGATAGAGCAAGTGATTCTAGATAGATTCTAAGTGTACTTCCATCACAACCTAATGATGATATTGGACATAGGCTGTGAGTGGTGCTTTTTGTGATCTTTTTCCTTCACTTCTGCTGTTATTGTTGTTGTCGACAGATTATTTCTTGTACCAACGACTTCAACTTTGTTTCCTCAAAAGGAATATCACCTTCAATTTGCCCTAGCTTAGTGTGTCCATACCGAAAGGATTAACCTCCATCGCAAATGATAGAAAAGAAAATATTGGTAATGTTTACAAAGTGACTGCACCCTTCTGAGGTTCTCTTATACTCCAGCCATTCCTGCAAAACCCACAAACCTCACCATAAGAACCAAAAACCTTCCTAACCCATGAGCTTTGACCCTATAGACCGATTCGATAATGCCTAGCAACCGCCCCTAGCAACGAGCACTTAGTGAAAACAAACCATCATTCGTTCGAAAACTCACTGTGCTTTGCTTATAGAGTCACTGAAATTTTATAAGAATCTAGTTTCTTTGCGGGAAAATGCCGAGGTGCTTTGTTGCTGTTGGTTATTTGAACCACAACATGATGGGAAAGAAAGATTTAACCTTTCATATATTCCCAGATTGCGTAAAGAAACTTGAAAAATGGAAGCGATGGGTACAAGCCATGAAATGTATGAACGCTGATGGGAGTGCTTGGGCGCCTGGTGGAAATTGTTTACGTCTGCTCAGAACATTTTATTACATATTAATATTTTACACCTTTTCAAATTCTAGAGACAGATAATCACTTTCAAACTATATCTCTACACTATCTTCCAAGACCAAGCATGGTCAATATTGCAGACATTAGGTTTTGGCAGCAGTCATACACTCCAAAAAGCACAACAGCAATTTTAAATTTTTCTGTAATTAATTGATTTATCATAATTTTAATTTACAGGCAAACCTTCCTGGAATCCAACTCACCCAGACTTTATCCCAAACACACCTTTACATAAAAACAAAGCAGTCATACTGTTATAAAGATCTGAAATTGGGAGAAAAGAAGCCCAGCTAAGGAGATGCCAAGCATTCAGAAGAAACCAAAGTTTCCTGTTGCCTGTGTGTCTGAAGTCATATAGTCCAGAAGATGAAACAACTGTAGAGGGCCTATCTCAAATTACTGAGGAAAGAGAAAGATGCATTGTGCATTTGTAGGCCTTTATGTGACCTAATTGTTTCCTTTGTGTAAACATCTTGTAAATAGGAAGAAAATTGATGTTAGGAAATGGCACTGATTTCACAGAAAAATATCCTTTATAGCTAAAAATCATTGATTACTGTAGCAAATTGTCATCATAAAATCATTTTTATTACATGGTGTGTTGATCATATAGTCTTAGATGTTGGGATATTCAATATTTCATAGGATTGTTGATCCTAATTTTGGCAGGCAGACGGTATGAGCATTCTTGTAGCTGCACAGGTAATTTGGATTCATATTGCTCTTTCAATTCGGTTTCTAAAAATTTCTAAACATTCATACACCATTTTCGCTCATGCTGATAGCAAGGTATCTGCAAGAGGTGGTTTTGTTTTCACCAAGCAGAATGGCAACGCCAACCCGTGTCGTCACACCGAATCGGTCTTTATTAATTTTTGACATTATTTTTCGCCTATGCAGATTATTTCATGTATTAGTGAGTGTAGCTTTTTGTCTTTGATGATTATTATAATGACATTGCATTTAGCTGTAAATGTATACCAAAGTATTACATATTGTACAACTTTCTTATTATCAACTTGTTAAGGTAGCACCATAGATGAAAACTTTCATCAAGTAATATAGTGTTAGTTTCCCTGTCAACTTAGAGTGAGTGATCAGGCATGCAAAGGTACTGAATAATTACCAAAAGTTGTGCAACAGGTAAGTCATACATTTACGTAATGATTGTACTAAGATAGTGAAGATCCAGTGACTGTCATAAAGAGAGGAGAGAAATTATACATTGATACATGAAATGATCAAAGAGTAACTTTAGAAAGGAAGAAAATAGGTTGTGGTAAATGCTGTGCAGAGACTAGGGTTATTCATTACAATTTGGATGCACTAAGTTAGGCAAAATTGAATAAGATATTCTTGCAGAAGATAAAAGTTGCAGTCATTGGTACACAAAATAATCTGGTACAGCCACAAGTGAAGGTAAAAGATCATGGATACTGCAGCTCTCAGTCTAAGCCCACTCGGTACACCCGAGTTTCAGCTCTATCTTATCGTGCATATCGAAGTGAAAACAAGGTTTCCTAGGGGGGTGTTGAGAGGCAGAGCCCCCCATCATTCCCTCCTTTGGGTAGTGCCCGAAGGGCATGCCCAATCACTGCAACTTATATTGATCATTAATTTTTTTGATTTTGAGTTCATCTCTGGTGAGTGTGTCCAGACTGTAAAGTAGGGAAATATGACAAGCTAATGGAGCCATGAGTTAAGAATTTTAGTTCATACAGCACCTAAACAGTGAAACTGTTTAGATGAAATGATATGCACACATAAGTAACATAAGGCTATGAAGTGTAATATTTGTTATAAAATCATGATAATTGATATATAAGTTTAAAATCGCATGTGCAAGTAAGTATTTATTAGTTGACTGTAGACTCTCTTGTCATGCAGAACTATCCTTACCATTCCACTCAAACTCCAACAAAGTTGCAAGAAGATTATATTAAGAGAGAGGTTGGGGGAAATTTGGATATTACTGACAACCTGTTGTAATTTGATTTTACATTATAAATGTTTTGTAATTATTTGATTTTGCTCCCTTTTTTATTTTGTAGAATGAAATAATGTATATTTGTATTAACCTTCAGTATGATGATCATATTTGCAAGAATGTTGGTTCACACTTGAACACTGTTTGTTGTTTTGTTCATTATTATTCTATAATTTACTTTCACACACATGGTTCCCTTATTTAGGCATAAAACATATTGGCAGGAATTCCATTATCATTTTATTTTCCTTCTTACCATACCAGCACCTCCAAGATGGGCTGTCTACTGGCAGAAGAGCTGGCTCAGTTAATGAATTGTGAAAAAATGGTAGTGGAAACTAGTTTAGTTCAGTAGCCAGACCTTTTATTATATAGTTTGTCTTAAGCTCTGCATTATTTTTGATGTTCTGAAATGCTTTTGTGTGTTTTTTCTGAAGTTTTGTTTTGTTTGTGAATTTTAGTCAAGTCATCCCATGAATCCCCTGTATCATTTGTGTGGGGTGGCTGAAGCTTAGCTAAAAATGGACCAGAAAAAATAGATATGATACATCATAAAATTTGTACTTTAATATTATTTATTTATTTTTTTCAATATATTTTATTAAAAGAATAGATAAGAGATGAAGTTGTATATTTTTATATAAATATTGTTCTCTGTTATTTAGTTTATAGCTTTGTATTTAGAGATTATATATTGTTTGTACCATAACTTATGTCATGGTAATAAGGAATGTGTACTGTAGTACTGACCAATACAATTCTGTAGCAGTTTGCCTCTATAGCCAACATATTTTTGGTTTCTTCCCCAGTGCAGATGAATGCAAGCTAGAGGAGCAGATTTATACTTTTTACTTTGTGGCATGCAAAGCTGAAATTGGGAAAAATGGCTCCAAAAAACACCACTCAGCTGCTGAAGAACCTCCGTGTCTTAATGAAAAACACAACCTACGTTCCCCAGGCTCTACATGCTTACATTGTACCTTCAGGGGATGCTCATCAGGTGATTGTCCAATGGTTGAAGAGATATTTTAAAATTTGTTTTTGAAATTCAAAAAATTGTAATAGCCAGGAGTTTTTATGGAAATTTACTCTGCATTTTGTATTAATAAGTTATTTTTCTTTTCTAGAGTGAATACATAGCACCATGTGATCAACGGAGAGCTTTTATTACTGGATTCACAGGGTCAGCTGGCACAGCCATTATCACAGACTCTGAAGCAGCTTTGTGGACTGACGGCAGATATTACCTCCAAGCTAGGCAGGAAATGGATGAAAATTGGACTTTAATGAAACAAGGTCTGTATTCAGGTCCTTATCTTTGATTTGCAGGCATGTGTCTTGGAGAAATTAGTCTTCTATTTCACTGGATAGTTATGTTTTGTAAAATAAGAAATTGTTTAGTTTTGAATAAGTTTTAAACATCAATAGTGCACACATATTCGTATGTTTATTTTCCAAATCAAACTGTAATTTACTTATTATATTGGAAATAATTTTTTTATAGGTAGATTTTATTTTATTTATTTATTTCTATAATTACTTATATATATATATATATATATATATATATATATAGATAGATAGATAGATAGATAGAGAGATAGATAGATAGATATGTATATATAGATATGTATATTGTTTTAATTACTATTCTGTGTAGTAGCAGTTGCAGCCAAACACTAGCTTTTTTTCTCTCTCAAAAAAATACTGCTAAGATTTATGTTAATCCAATGGCACTGGGAAAATGTGATATTTATTGTAGGTAAGCATTCAGCCAACAAAGGTCAATCAGTATCGTAAGTGACCATACCAGATTTTCCCTTTCCTTGAATTTTGGGATTTTTTCTAATGTTATTAATATCAATGCTTTTATAATTATTATTGACATGAAAAATATTGTGGTATTATTAACAATATAAATAAGATATTTCCAAAAATCAAGGCAAAGGTTAAGGGGGTTGTCGCGCTCGAGAACAAAGTTCGTCAGTTATGATTGGATATTTGATATTTGATA